AGTGATTCTTATTTAATTGTAGAGTTTACTGAAAATCTAGTTGATAAAACTGTGACTGTATGGCTGCATGTACAATATTTTAAAGCTTTACCTTGTGTATTATCTTCTTAATTAACTAATGAGTCAATAAAATCTCCAAAAAAGTAAAAAATATCCGTAATTTCTAAGGAAAGCAAGAGTTGCATGCTTGTTTTTAAAGAAAATGTCTCCTTTATATAGCTGAAACAATTCATTGCTGAATTAATTTACTGGGACACTTCCATAAAGGAGGCAGAATAACCTTACAAATTAAATTATACTGTGGTTGCAGCTTGAAATATTAATGCAGAGTTAGAGCATGCTGTTAAAAGCTGTAAAGTCTGAGTGTTTTTAGTTAATGCTAAAAGGAGAATAATGGAGTTTATTCTTCTCCTTGGACCGGCCTTTATAAAGGTTCTTCTGATCAAAGAGCAAAGAGCATCCAGGACAAATCTCGAAGCATTTGTCTTTTCTTTTTCTTTTAATCCATCTGAAGAAAAACTGAGATATGTTCTGAAACCGTGGCCTAAAAATCATGTTATGAACTGTGGTTTGGGGGGATTTTTACAACCGTATTTCACTGGATTCATTTTGCATCCCTTGACTGATCCACTAACTGCTGCAGCTCGAGGTAAGTAGCTGTAGGATCCAAGAAATCCTTTAAACTGTTCCAACAAAATGCAGATAAATAGAGAACCCTTACTATTACCCACGGGTAAACAGGGATGAGGACTGCTGGTTTGGGGGGCCTGGGGCGTGCGCATGTGTCACACTGCCTGGAAAAGGCAGCCATTTAAATGACCTCATCTGTGCATTCAGCATAGACACTGAACCACTTGTTATCTTCCTCCCCCTTCACCCTCCTCCTGCTGCGTTCCTCTCCTCTGCCTCAGCGAATTTCTCCTTTCTTTTCACCCTTTTCTCTTGTTTTTTTTCTTTCTCCTCGATGACAAAGACTCGAGCTCAACAGGCAGCCAAGGCAGCAGCTGGCCCTGTGAGTCGGCTCCGGTCTGGCCAGCTTCATTAATCACAGCTCAATGACTGGAGTCACTGTTTTGCCTGCAGTTACAAATCTGCAAATGTTACTGTATTCATGTGCAGAGAAAGCATGAAAGACTACTGCTAGACAGAGGTCTTATTATAATGCTGTAATTAATATGCCATGTATTACATTCTTTTGTCAGAGCCTACAGCTTCATAATACTTCATTAAAAATTATCATATGTAATAGCAAAGTTATCTATACTTCACTTTTATGTCCCAACACTGATTTATTGTTTCTGCCTAAGAGTGCTTCAATCTATTAATAAAAGGATTAGATCAGCTCTGTCAAACTTTTACCTAAAAAACAAAATCCAAGACTCATGTAACATATGATAAAAACACAAAATATGCACATTCCCCTTTAGATTAAAGTAGGTTACAAAGAGGTTAGCTAAAGTATAAAAGAATACTGTAACTTTTAAATGGTCAGGGGGGAAGTGGGGGGGAAACAATGGAGCTCTCAATTGTTCTGGGTCCAGTTAAAGATTTGTACATTAAAAAAAATAAAAACCAAAAATCCTCTTTGTAAGTTACAGGAATTAATCAGTTTATTTCTATGTAATTTCATGATTTAATACAGAGTAAGTATGTATTGAAACTGTACAAAAAGAGCAGCAATTTAAATGATTTAAAAATGAAAAACTTTGAACAAAAACTTTATTAAACTGGTAAATAAATAAATAAATAACCTCAAAAAAAGAAGAGAAAAGTTTTTTTTTTTCATCACTAGCTTTTCTTACCTTAGCACCAATCTGGTTCCCGCACTGGCCGGCCTGGATGTGCACGATTTCCCTCATGATGGATGGACAGTTGGTGATGGAGCAGAGAGCGGTGGAAGTAAGTGAAGGCTGCTGACCTACTGACTGTGCAGAGTGTGTGGCAGCGCTGAGTCCAGCTGGCTCCGGGGGGTGGGGCATAGCTTAGTCCAGGCTAATGATTGGTTATTCTGTCTGCGGCTTTGGAGCCGATTGGCTGAAGATTGAGCTTTTTTTCCAAAAGGGGTTTCCTTCCCTCTGAGGCAAGGACCGGAAGAGGAGAAGGAGTGCCGGGTGTTGTCATCACTGCCTCGTTGGAGCTCCAAACAAAAGCTGGAAAGTAACGAAGTAGTGGATTTCAGATGCTTTACTCGAGTATTTCCTTTTTCTGCTCCTCTACGTTTGCAGAAGGAAATATTTCATCAGAACATTAATGTGAATTTTAAAGCCTATATATGAAGAGTAAAAAGTTACACCTTCTAAACCATAATCAGCAGCATCCATCATCCAGTTAGCATAAAGGAGATAATGGACTCAGGCGTTCACGTCACATTTTACCCTTAAATGTAAGGTCCTGACGTTTTTAATAGTATGAACACAAATATATACACTCACCAGCCACTTTCATAGGTACACCTGTTCAACTGAGAAATTCAAAATATCTAATTAGTCAACCACAACAGCAACTGAGTGCATTTAGGTATATAAACATGATCAAGACAATCTGCTGATGTTCCAGTGAGCAGCAGCTCTCTAGGGGAGAGTGTCTTGATTTCAGAGATCAGAGGAGAATGGCCAGACTGCTTCAAGCTGGGCAGGCAATGGTAGCTTAAATAATCAGGGTATGCAGAAGAGCATCTCTGAATGTAACAACCCATCAAACTGAAACAGATGGGCTACGGCAGCAGAAGATCACACTGGGTCCCATCTGTCATCTAAGAACAGGAAACTGAGGATAAAATTTGCACAGGCTCACCAAATTTGGACATTAAAAGATTGGGAAAATGTTGTCTGGTCTGGTGGTGGGTCAGAATTTGAGAACATGACAATGAATTCACTGTACTCAAATCTCCTCTACAGTAACTGGATCGTAATCCAATAGAGCATCACGTTTAGTAATATATATTATATTATGATATATAGATATAGTTGCTAGAATAATTCAGTAGTCTGTGTTTTGAAAGGAAGATTTAATGTTAAAGTGTTATACTCTTCCAGCAATGATTGAGGAGTCACACATATGCAGCTACTGTTAGACTATATTTTAAACTATATTTCTTTGACAGTGCAATTTTCATAAAAGTACTTTTGAATAATTTGGAGTCATACGCAAGAACGACATTATACCAAAACTAGTCGGTGTAAAACATTTAACTAAATTAAAATTAAAAAAAAGAAACCTTAAAGAACTGTCTGCAAGAAAATAAAAGCATACAAGAAAATGACTTTAGCTTTTTGTCATTTGAAGAGGCATTTTAAAATATTTTTTAATTAATAATAATTTAAAAAATAATTTTAAAAAATGATAATAATAATTATACATTCCCATCTCGCACCTTTTAGCTAGATTGAAACAAGCACATCCACCATGAAAATGAATTAAACTCAGAAGTGAGAGATATACAAGATAATAATAGTGTTTAATAATAAAATTCAAAGTTGTAGAAAATTGAACTATTAACTGTACTTTAATAAATGCATTTAGTTGCTTTCCACCTGCTTGATGGATAAAGTGTTTTTACCCGCCCAGTAGCGGTGATGATGATTGAGGACAGTCCTGAAAAATGACGTTTCCCCACCTCGCCACTAGATGGCGGAAGCACAAAGTTTGCTGAATGGGCGTGCTCTATTGGAGCCACTGAGCTGCAGCCTTATTATTCACTAACCGCATCATTTCGTATCCAACGAGAGAAAACGTCACCCGGGATGAAAACTCATTAATCTGAACGGCCAATTATTCATCGTTTTTCACTCTACTCCACCTAAACCGCGTCGTTTGTACACTAACCGGTGAGTGTGTCGCCACATTTTCTCTGTATCCACATTCATCGAGTGTAAACACAGATGTAGCTGAAATTGTTTGAGTTAAGCTAACAGATAAACAGCCTGCACTTCATATTTGTTTTGCTGCACATATTTTAAAATCTTGATCTCTCTGTTGATCTTGTTTGTGAGCTTCGGGGTTTTGCGTTTGTTGCAGCTTTTCTTGGGCTTTTTACTGCGCAATGTGTGCGCTAATTAGATTTTTTCCGCTGGTCTGCTGCTCATCTGTCTAGCCACCACCATCACATCCACTCCTTTTCTTCTGGGAGCGAGCTGATCATTGTGATTTCTGATGCTTGCATATTTAGCCTCTGAAAAGAAACTAATAAAATATTTAAAGTTCTTTTAAAAATTATATTTCGTATAATAACTCTGCGCGATTCCGGCCTTATGCGTTTGTTGATGGATTTTCTATACAAATCCTTTATAAAAGTGTTTTTGTTAAATAATTATTCTTTCATTTTTGTTGTTTTCTTTAGTCTGAAGGAGGATCAGCAAAAATGTTCTACACCTGTGGTCCCAACGAGGCTATGGTGGTATCAGGTAAAATGATGCCTTGTACTGCTTTGTTGAAATCTAAACAACTTAAGAAACTATAACATCAAACTAATACATAACTGTTGCTTTTCATTAATTAACGCACATGTGATGGCTGTCACATCAAGGCAAACAAAATGTTCCAAAACCTTTAGGTGGTGCCCTAGACTTCTCTAAAGGAGAGAAAAAAAATGCAGATTTTTAATGGGTCTGCAGTTCTGAACACAAACATAAACCAGAACTTGATTTGTGATGGAAGTTTGTTGAATTAGTTTTTATCATGAAGTAGTAAATGTTTAAACTCTCCCTGTGATGCTCAGCGCGGTCTCTGATCTCTCCCAGGCTTCTGCCGTTCTCCACCTCTCATGATAGCCGGAGGCAGAGTGTTCATCATCCCCTGCGTTCAGCAGATACAGAGGTAAACAAACCACAAAGTTTATTTATGTTCTCCTGTATCCCATTAGTTTACTTCCTGATGTTTCTGCAAACACTGTTGACATTTGGCTGATATATTTTAAGTGACAAATTGAATAACATGATGAGAAGGCAAACAGCACTTCAGCAGCAAAAACAGATAAAAAGGGGGAAAAAATGTTAACAAATTCATTTTAAATTAATTTTATAATAATGAAGGATTTCTTTTGGGGACACATTTAAAGCACAGAGCATATACATCTGTGTCATTAGTAATAAATATGTGTAAAGCATCCAGCTGCTGTTCATAAACTGTTACTTTTTAAGTCCTTTCTCTCCGTCTTCCTGTTAAATTTAAGACATTAGCTTCCACACAGGCCACATTTGGGTCTAGTACCAACATTTAAAAAAAGAAAAATCCCTTTTACCATTTACACTGTGTTTGCAACTCAGTGTAACAAAAGCAAGGAGGAAATTGCTACACCTAATGTACCATTAGAGTAATGAAAATGAATCAATAATCATATTTCCCATTATATCTCTCACGTGGCCTCTCTCCAGGATTTCCCTGAACACTCTGACTCTGAATGTGAAGAGCGATAAAGTCTACACCCGCCACGGAGTGCCCATCTCTGTCACCGGGATCGCCCAGGTCAGTGTGCACCACTGGAGATGAATCAGGTGCTGCTGCTGGCAAAACAGGGGCGGCCTTTCTCAGAAGGACAGGTGTAAACTAGAAGATTAAGATTCATTTTGTGTGGTGTATAAAGTTACTCGTAGCAACCAGAATGTTTTTTCCTACTTGCTTTTTGTTTACAGTAAACTTTGTTGCTGCTTTATAGTTTATTTTTATTTATTTTCGCATGTTATTGTATCTGTTGATTAATTAAAGCAGGCCAATGTAAATATTAGGGTCGGGTACACTGACAGTGCCATTTAGTTTCACGTGAAACCCAGCTCCCGATTTGCTATTTTTCACTGTGCATCGAGGAAATGAACCCAATATTTATGTCAGTGTTTGTCTAAATAATAAACAAGCAGCTGTTTCCTACAGATGAAGATCCAGGGTCAGAATAAACAGATGTTAGCTGCAGCCTGCCAGATGTTCATGGGAAAGTCAGAGGCTGAAATTGCTCAGATCGCCTTGGAGACGCTTGAAGGACATCAGCGAGCCATCATCGCCCATCTGACTGTTGAGGTAAGGAGTTAAAGTAAATAAATGGAGTTTATCATCCAACTGAATTATAGAACAGGTG